AGCTGAAAAAAATACCCTCCAGATACGTGAGATGCTACCACGTGCGTGAAATATGTAGGTCGCTTCCAGAGGCTGGGGCTCTCCTGGCAGCACGGTCCCCTGCCAGGCTGGGGTCTCTGGGACAGCTCTGGTCTCCGCAGACACGGGCTTTGGGTATTAGCTCTGATTTTGACCCATCTGAGGTTATGGGGAATCCGATGAGAGCAGCTTTGGCTCAGCGTCCTGGCTTTTGCTATGGGACCTTTAGTTTTCTTAGCACCCCAAATCTAGGTGGTTCCTCATGTCCCTGGTGAGGTGTTCTAGTGCCCCTGGAACTTGTCCAGGTGGGTTGGAGGAGGTCTCGCGTTCCCCCATGAGCAAGGAGGGGTGGTTGGGGACTACACGGCTGGAGGGAGCAGTGCGGAAGGAGGCTACGGATGGTCACCAGGGAGGAGCACAGGAGGGGAGGAGATGGTTGGCAGGAGGCAATGGGATCCTGACAGAAAACCAGCAGCCACAGCCCCAATGGCATCTCCTGGGGGGTCACCCCTGGGGGTGTGCACTCCTGCACGTGGCTTGAGATCGTCATTTGTTTTTTTGCAGGACGGCATTGTTGTTGGTGCTGGAGCTGCAGCAAGCCCTTAGACAAGCCGCCTTGTGGTCCTACAAGGTAAGCCTTGCCTTCATCTAACACCTTTTCCGTCTTCTCCTTCCAGAACAGCTTGTGCTGGGAGCCCACAAAGAGCTGTCCCGGCGCTGGGACGCCGACTACGATGCCTTCGTGCTGCCCTTGCTGGACGAGCAGCAGCCGTGCTACGTGCTGTACCGCCTGGACAGCCAGAACGCCCAGGGCTACGAGTGGCTCTTCATCTCCTGGTCCCCCGACAGCTCCCCGGTGAGCACCGCGCCGGGCTGTGACACCCCGGCGTGGGGACACGGATGTGCTCTGGGAGGTGGAGGCGGAGGGTGGAGGAGATGCTGGCCAAGTGGACTTTGCGCTGGGGCTGAGGAGGAGCGTTCACACCCTCCATCACTGTGCCTGGGTTAAGAAGAAGTGGAGACCGCTTTGGGGATGGGGGAATTTTTTAAGACGCAGTAAGATACACTGGGACTGTGTCTCTGTCCTCTGCGGCGCTGTGTGAGGAGGTGGAGGGACTGGGATGTAAAGGGGGGAGCGGTATGGGCCACGGGGCCGGGGTGGAGGTGTCCCACCATGGGACATCGCT